TCTCATTGATTTCAGTGGATCAATTCCAAATATGTTCAAATCTAGATTCAATTCAGTGTGTAGGTATGATTTGTAATGTTACTATTTTATTTATTTATTTTTATTAGCATGTTTTAATATGTGAAGTTGCTTTAGGCTTTAACTGTATTTTTGTTCACTGGCATCTCATATTGGGTAGAAAGCAGGATTATTGAGCCCCATGGTCTTAAAGATGTTACGTTTTCTCTAGGAAAAAGGTTGTGGAGATAATGGCTTAAATCCTGTTGCTAAGTGTATTAAATTGCAACTAGAACGGGACGCAATTGAATCAATGGAAGTTATGGAGGAGTGGCTAACCAAATCCCCATTTACTCGATTATAATGGTGCCTCTCATGACGACAATAATCCGTTCCACAGAAATCAATGTCTTGTGAAAACATTGTCTTACAAAAACCCTTTCTCCATTGGAATGCATTGAAACCCATTTAGTCCATTCCAATGGGGAAAAATCATCATCGTTTTGCGAAGATCACCCATAGGGAAGCCATTTTGCGAAGCGCCGATCAGCTGTTAAAATGGCTGCCCTGCAAAGCATCGGTCCCCAAAACACCCGTTTTGCAAAGCGCCGATCCATGCCAAAGTCGTCGTCTTGCGAGAAACAGTTTGTGAAGCAGGGACCCAAACATTGTCCAGCGGAAATCACCCATTTGAATCACTATTTTGCAAATCGCTATAGCAATTGCAAAACCTCGTCCGAATCGCTATAGCAATCGCAAAACCTCGTCCTCATGCGGAATTGTCGTTTTGCGAGGTCGTCGTCCAGTGAGGTACCACTGTACTACAGTAAGTAACAGGATTTAGAACATAATGTCTTTGCACAGATGGTCTCCTACAGAAGCTCTTGAAAGATCTGCAATAGTACGGCGCAGAAAAACATCTGATAACCTTCTGTGCTTTCTTTGTTGAAATATTACTAACACATTGCTTTTCTCACCTGTATGATTCAGTTGGTAGTTGGTGCTCTTGTTCAAATCTAATTTAGTTCCATAGGGCTTGGGGAGGACATATTTCAAGCAGCTTGTAACAAACTTGTTTGTTTGTCATAAAGAGCACTATATAAACTGTTCAGTATTCAAAGACAGTAACCAGTTTAAATTTAGCGCATAGATGCAGCTCCCCAACCTAAAGTCTGTGTTATTAGCAAATTGACCATTCAACATTTTCTAGATAGTTCAGAATGTCTTTCTGGCAGTCCATGGTATCTGCAAAGAACCTCCTCCAGCACCACATTTCAAATGAATTTTTTTTCCTGTCAGCTCTCTTTATTATCCAGCTTTCATACACATACATGGTGATTGGGAATACAGTACAAGAGTGTGGATGATCTTGGCCTTGGTGTCCAGTGACACATTCCTACACTTGATGCTCTTTTTAGTTCCTTCATTACTGCTCTTCTGATTTCTTGGCTGCAGTCTCCATTTGGATTGATGATTGAACAAAGGTATATAAAATCTTTAACCATTTCAATTTCTTCATTGTCAGCATTAAAGTTTAGGTCTGTAGTCATAATTTTTGTCTTCTTAATGTTCAGTCGCAGTCCTGCTTTGGCATTTTCTTCTTTCACTTTCCTTAATAGTCATTTCAAATCCTTGCTCCTTTCTGCAAATAAAATGGTGTCACCTTAAATAACTGATGTTTCTTCCACCAATGTTTCACTCCTCCTTCATCTGAATCTAGTCTTGCTTTCTGTATTATATTTCTGTGTATGGATTGAACAGATAAGGGGATAAAATGCACCCTTGTCTGACACCTTTGCCTATAGGAAACCATTCTGTCTTTCCATATTCTGTCCTAATGGTAGCTTCTTGTCCACAATACAAGTTATGAATTAGGACAAACAGGCACACCGATTTCTTTCAGAACAAACCATAGTTCTCATGATCCACACAGACAAAGGCTTTTCTGTCATCTAGAAAGCATTAACTGATCTTCTTCTGAAACTTTTTTCTTTTCTTTTAACTCTTTTATTTTCTCCTGATCAGATAGTGTGCTTCCCTGTTGGTCATATAGCATTCCTAATCTAGGCTTCAATTTTCCTTTGATTTATTTGATCTTCTGGAAGAGGTATCTTGTTTTCCCCCTTTCTAGTTCCACTCTATTTCTTTGCACTGATACAATAGCTAGTTGTTAAAGATTGCACATTATACTCTTGATGACATTTACTCATTGTTTTGTTTATTTATTAGTTCCGTGTAGACCTCATCTTCTCTCTAGCCCATCCAAAGTGACATACACAGTTCTCCTTTTCCTGCTATTTTTACCTTCACAACAACCCTGTGAGATAGGCTGGTTGAAAGCTCTAAGTTACCTAGTGAATTCTATGGCCTACTGAGGACTAGAATCTGGATCTTCAAAGTTCTGGTTTAACATATTAAACCAGTGACGTGGACTCTCAGGGTCAGGAGCCCATTCCGATCTCCTTGGGATCCTAGTCTGGCCCTTAGGGGTTCCCTGAATGGCCGTATCTCCTTCCCTGTGGCACCATCATGTTGTGCTTCTGCTTTTGTACAGGTTTTGTTTCGCATTCTGACATGTAGAAATGTCTCTTTTAAGGATTATTGGCAGTAAGAGCTTTAAACTGAAATATATTAGCATTTGTGTGTCCATTCTTTTACTGTATCTTTGTTCCCACTTACCTTTTGTCCAACCCTGGGATGCAGCCCGTGGGGAAACTGGAAATCTATATCTTAAGTTGAAATAGATTCCTTCCCACTCCTTGTTATAACTGCTACATTACACTGCACTAAACTCAACTATTTTATTTGCTTGCTTGAGTTTGTGCTGTTTGTATGCTGCCTTTTTCCCCCATAGGGGATTCAGGGAAGTTCAAAACAATTAAAAACATACAGTGCAATAATCACAATGTTAAAGTGCTGTAAAAAACTAAACTAAAACAATTACATTTTATCAATATCAAAAGCATAATTAAAAACCAATATTTAAAAACATTTAAAAATCTTTAGGACTCTAGTCATGGCATTTGTCTTCATGCTAAGCCTGAGGTCTTGAAGACAATGGGAATCGGGAGCCACTGAACATATTCTTACTTACTTCTTAGCAAGCATAGCATGCAACTGTTAGATTTTTTTTTTTAGACTTTAAGCACCACAGTGATGCTTTTTGCTTTTAGTCTTGTATGTTGCATTGCTACACACATTTTATTTAGCCCAAGATGTGTATGTATTGGTATTGTTTATTTCCCCTAAAATTAGTCATTATGTGCAATACGTGCATTTTCATAGAGCAGAAGGGGGGAAATCCAGATGATAACAAAAATTTCATACATTCCTCTTTCATTTACTTTATCAAAAGAAAAACAATGACAACAAGGGCGCTTCATTACTTTCTGTATCATGCTTTTAAAAGTCCTTGTATATGCGGTTTTTGTCTTACTGCTTCCTTCCTGAAATGGCAACAACCACTTATTTTAGCTCAACTTGCATTCTAGAGACGTATTTATGTTCAGTGATACTTTTCAGTTTCTTGGAAGTCATTCATTTCTTTTAGAACATTCAGATGTGTCATCTCCTCAATTAACGTATATCCCCTCAGTAAATATAAAAACTTCACTATGCAGATTTCAGAGCTGATTGAAAGCAGCTCCCTGATAGACAGGTGACTTATCTTTACTCTGTAGCGTTTAATGGGATCATAAATACAGTTGTCCCATTTTGTTCATATGTTACTTGCTCATCATGGTTTCCTCTAAGAATATAAGTATCAGCCAGTTTGGTCAGCCCAAGTGCCCATCTGCTCCAAAATCTGTACTCATAGCAAATTCACAAAGCAAAAAAGCTTTCCCTTCTTTTCCAGTAAGTGATATTAACTTGACTCTGAACTCAGAAGTTGCACACAACCATCAAGACTACTAGTCACTGATAGCTTTATTCTTAATAAATTCATCTAATCACCTTTAAAACCATCCCCTTTGATGACAAATACCACCTCTTGTGGGAGCAAATTTCATAGTTTAGCTACCCATTGTCTATACAGTATAAGCAATTTCCAGTGCCTCTTGAAGGGCCTAAACAGAGATCAGATCCTCTTGCCACATTGCATAGAGTAATATAACCCAATTTATTTTGTAATATAGGTATGAAATACAGTAGTCTCCCTTGACAGACTCCAACTTCCGCCCCAGAAGCGTTTCTTAGTGTTTTTGTGACAGCCACATTTACTTGGGATACAGCTCATCACCCTGGCTAGGGCCTGAAAACTCAAGTAATTAACAATTTGATAGCCCCATTCCTGTGTTAACAAAGCTCTGGCACTCTGTTATTTGCATTCTCAGATCACCATGACTCTCATCCCCACAGGGATGTGTATAAATAAAGAAGACATGTCTTTGCCTTCCTTGTATCTGAAAAAGTGAATTTTGATACACAAATGCTCACACTGAAATAAATGTGTTAGTCTTTAAGGTGCCACAATATTCTGCACTTCTCTTTACCCTTCCTCTCTTTTTCTTTCTCCCCTTTAATTTTGCCAACATGCAGAGACAGACTAACATGGCTACTTCTTTGGATTCGTCTCTCCTGAATTCCTCTTCTCTGAGCTTGCTTTGATTATTCTTGGTCTTTAGTACTGGGAGAGAACAACAATAACAACTCTTTCTCCATTTTCTTTGCATCATACATGACTTTATGTACCTCTAACCCAGCAATGGCGAACCTATGGCACGCGTGCCACAGCTGGCACACAGAGCCCTTTCTGTGGGCACGCGAGCCATAAGTTGCCGGACTGCTACTCCTCCCCTGCAGAACCAAACCTGAGAAGGTGGCTGCAGCTGCGGTGTTGGGACTTCGACAGGCAGATCCGGAGCAGCTGGTGAGGGATCCAGAGTGGGGTCTTGAGGCACCTCCGTGCCTGGGATTCCTCTTTCCAACGCCACTTCCAGTTCTGCTGCTGCCGCGGCACACTACGCACTGAGGTAGGCACCTCCGTGCCTGGGATTCCTCTTTCTGCTGCCACTTCCAGTTCCGCTGCCGCTGTGGCACACTACCCACTGGGGTTCTCCCCCCCCAATTTGGGCACACAAGCCCAAAAAGGTTTCCCGCCACTGCTCTAACTTATCTCTCCTCTCATCTTTTTCTAAACTAAAGAGGAACACAGGAAGGTGTCTTATAATCATTCCAAGCATTCTTCCATAGCATCTAGTATTGTCAGCACTGACCGGAAGTAGTTCTGGGGTCGGATGGGAACAGTGGCACTGCAGGGTGTGACCTCCCCAAGGCCAGTTTTGCAGCTCCTAGATTCGCCACCCCCACACAGAAAATAAATCTGCAAAATATGTCATTTTCCACTCCTGCAAGCTACCAGGAGTGGTGATTTTGGAACAAAGTGAGCCACAGGATTCCCAGTCCTGTCTTCCCAAAAGAAATCCACTAAGATGAAACCAGAAATGGACTTCCAACAACATTAACTTTTAACATTTAATAATTTTTGATCGTTTTGGGGGCTGGTGCACCCCAGAAGGTTCTGAAATATAAAATTGAAATATAAGAGGTGGCCAACCCATGCCTGAAAGAGTTCCAGTCAGGAGCCCTCTCTTTGGTCTATCTGGAAACGCCTAGGCTCCTAGGGTGCAAAATGTACATTCTTCCATGGAGCTACCGGTCAAGTAGTGCTATGGTGTTATAATTCTTTTCTCCGGGGATGGTGGTGGTGGTGAGGCTATTGCAGTGTTCTGATCATTTTGAATATCCCATTCTGCACCTTTTGCAATCCTCCAGTATTGTTGCTTTCAGGGCCATGGAGATTGGCAGCCACAACTCTATACCGCATTTTAAGTCTGGTCACATCTCAGGTTTGTAAAATGCAGGTTAGCCTCCCTCTGAATCACTCAGTGCAGAAAACAGCCTGTGTCACATGACCCCCTTCATAGGGTCCAATGATGGAGGAATCCAGCTATCTTGCTGGTTTCAGGCCAGGTGTAGTGCCGGATGCTCTCCAATTTCCAGTTTTGAAGCTGGCTTTTGCACGTGGCCCGAGAAGGGTGCCATCATGTTCTTTCCTTCAGGCAGCAAAATATCTTGGAGCAGCCTTGATCTATAATGGGTTCATGTAATGAAATATTTTGCCTTTTAAAGGAACATTATTTGTGTGGCCTCCTTATTTCCTCCTTCTCCTCAAAGTCAGTATAAAAAGCTGATAATATTATAATGATGCAGCTTGAAAGATGATGGGTTGCAGCTACATCCATCTTTTGATTTAAATCAAGAAAATGAAATGAAAATGTTGAGGAAACTTTAAGTTGTTTTGCTTTAAAGTGAAAAACAGTGTTGTATCATGGTTGTAAAACAACATAAATTATTTTATCCTATAGATCAGTGGTTCCCAACCTTGTGTCCTCAGAAGTTCTTGGACTACAACTCCCAGTAAATCCTGGCCAGCACAGCTAGCGGTAAACGCTTCTGGGAGTTGTAGTTCCAAGAACGTCTGGGAATCAAAGGATTGGACCCACTGCTATAGGCATAAAAAAAAATCACTTTGCCATATTTTGAGGAAAATATGACATCACATCTGTAGGATCTTCATTTGCAGCCTTTAAGCAAGAGAGCAGGTCATCTGGTATTAAGGTCTGTTCTTGAATGTTGTTCTCTGAAAGCAGGAATGTCCACTGGTTAGCCACAAGTGGATCTGGTTCTTCTTCTGTTGAGCTAATATTGCTCTGTCCACTTCTACTGTTGTTCAAGACAAGGTTGATTTTTTCAAATAAAAATATTTCCTCGTCTGTGTAAACAGCAGGCCATATGGTGGCCAGAGGGCTTGTGCAACCTTTTGTTAAACTATTTATAGGCAAAGTTGGAGAATTCAATTTTGTGTCCAGGTTTTGAGAATGTGTTTTGTAAGTATTACTGAATACATTTCCCAACAATGTCTTGTGGGAAACTTGAGGTTTATAGCCATTTGACTCTACCATGTCCGAATTGCTGATAAACTTTATATCGTCTGCAGTGTTAATCTTCTCTGAAACAGCTTCCCGGATTCTCTTTTTATCATCCAAGGACGTTTGCCCCTTGTGAACCTGAATTTCCTCCACTTCAGTTATTACAGCATCCTCATAAACTGAGAATAGCCCAGTGGAAGAATGAATTATTGGATCTCTTTCTTCCTGAGGAAAGAAAAGAAAATATGTGAAGATCGCTCAACCACAATTTTATGTAATAAATGTAGGAAGGGGTTGTTCTTTCAGTTTCAGTCTCTATTCTAGACCAACACTCTGTAATAACTTTTAAAACACGTGATAATAAAAGGGGATTAGA